TCACAGAGTTTGAGTCTGAGCCTTCCTCATTTTTTCCACTTCTCTTTTGGACATCGGTTGTTAAACACAACATCATGGCCACCACTGCTTTTTGTAACCCTGCTTATAATCTTGACCCTTTTGGCCACTTTTAAAACTGACAGTATGATTTGAAAGCATGTAAAAGAATTTGGGACTTCTTCATCTGCATTTCCTAGTTGGTTATACTTGTGGTTTCATTTTTTTTCTTTACTTGAAGGAAATACTATTCCTGAACTTCCTGAGCTTCTTTAGGAAGATCCTCACATACAGATACCTAAGTGTGGGAACTGTGAGTAGGTCACAGCAATCCCTGCTGGCTGTCAAATTTTTATGATCTGCTTTAGGAAGTTTGGCGATTTCTTTTCACTTTTTTAGACAAGTAAAGCATGATTCTATTCTCATTGTAAAAATTCAAATGGTATTTAGAAAAACAGGGTAAAAAAAAAAGTGGAAGTCTTTCAACAACCCCTAATTCCTAAATTTAGGTCCCTTCCCAAGGGAATCACTGTGTGAGGCATGCAACCTTCTAAAACATTACCTGTGGGTTTATGGGCACACAGTATGTGTGTCCCAATTATGGGGTTTTCCATATAGTAAATCATCCTGTACACACTCGGTAGCATTTTTTCATATAAGTTTGTTTTGGAGATCTTCCCGTGTGAGTTCCCTAATGGTGGACATTTAGGTTGTTTCTAATTATTTGCTCTTACAAACAGTGCTATAATTAACATCCTTGTAAATGTCTCTTTGTGCATATGGGCAAGCATTTCTTTAGGGTAGCTATCTATGGTTTGGCAATTTCTGCTGCCTTTAATTGCATTGCCTGGTATCTGGCAGACGATCTTCTGCATGTACAATAACTTTTCATGTCCGTGCTCCATTATAGTGTAAGTTCTAAAAAGATGTTTTAGGCAACAATTAGGAATCTAAGTTTAAGTTCAAATTCTGTGCAGACTGCTATGGGTAGCTGAGGTGACACTTGAACGAACCTCCCCACGTGGCAAAGTTCACACACACACAGGCAGTTGCGGTGGGGAGCAGGTAAGGGTTCCTTTCCCCCATGCCGACGTCCGTCGCGAGGCCCACTGGGATTTTTAAAACATGAAAATACGGGAAAACGCATCTTAGAACCAAGGAGTTAAGATATTTTGTTTTCCCCACATGAATAGCCAAATAGCCCATTGCTTCACCTTCATGTTTGAATGGCCCTTTCCTGTGAGTTGAGAGAACTGCATTACTGCAAACTCATTTCCCCTGCAGGTGGGTGTGTTTCTGGACTATTAACCCCGTTGATCTATGTGTCTGTTTCTGTGCTAGAGCAGAGGGCACACCCCCCGTAGTCTTCGTTTGGAGAACTTTGCACATTTGCCTTTCTGTCTACGGCTCTTTCTTCTTCCCCATGCTGTCCCTTTTACACAGGGTGCTTCATTAGCTGTTCACAATCTGCATGATTTTGCATCACGATGGGTCTGATGTGAGAACATCTGCAGCAGTCAAGAGCATATTTTCCTCAGGACTTGACACTGAGCTTGCCATCAGCATGAAGCGATCTCTCCCCCCCCCCCTCCTCTCTCTCTCTAATCCCATGACATCTCTTAGCATAGCTTCTCCAACATCAGTTATGCCTGAGTCTTGAATGGTGTCAATCCGAGTTGAAAATGTGCCAGCTTTCTTAACATTATCACTAACAGACTGCTTAATTAACCTGCTGATACTGTCAATAATAGATCTTGCTGGTGTGCTAGAAAGGAGACCCATGGCCTATGGTTTGGTCTCTCTTTCTCTCTCTCTCTTTTTCATTTGCTTAGGCTCTCAGTGCTCATGACTTGGGAGCTGGACTTGCCAAGAGTGGGATGGGAGGAACTAGGGAGGTTTGAAAGGAACACGGCAGAAACGGAAGTTCTGGACGAGATCATGGAAATGAAATCACTGAAACGGTCTGGTGCTCTCATTGCTCAAAGATGAGGATGGCTAATAACCTGAGCATACAGCAGGTGTTCAATAAATGGACCACCAGTGTACAGTCAACTGAAGATATTACAGGGCATGCGCCAGTTGAGTAGGCAGGGTGGGCGTTCTGAGGGAGGAGCCTGGGGGTGCCGTCATTTTAGGGTGGCTTTCAGGGTTTTCCCTTTTTTCCATCCAGGAAGCTTCGATAAGAAGAGGGCTTCATCGTGCCCAAACTGTCTTGGCTGTCTGAGGGGAGGGACACTGGGTTTTCACTTCTTTTCCTGCCTTACATTTCATGCCAAGTGGTTTTGTGTTTGAACCAAAGTCCTGCTCTGTCTGCTGTGGCTTCATTTTACATTTGGAAATTGCAGAGAGCAAGCAGATGCCACCACGAGCCTGGAGCTGGTTGACCACCACCTCCAAATACTCATGTCTTTGTCTCTTATGCCTGTGCATGCACACACGTGCACCCACACAGAGCACGGGGCTGGAGAGGTCTCAGGAGTCCCTGGCTTCCCCGAACCTGGTGGGGGCATGGGTGCAGAAGCTGACATTCTGTGTGAGCTCAGCTGGTGCCCAGAGATCCCATAGGGATGCTAAATGCAGCACCTCTTCTTATATCCGGGGAAGGCTGGTAAGGGCGGCTGCTTCCGGGTCGCAGAGTGAGCTGGCGTCTCCTGACTTCAGGCAGATGCTCCTTGCCTGGACCGCACTCCTTGGGCCATGGCTTTCCTGCAGTGGCGGTGGTGGTGTAGTGGTGGTGTGGCAGTGATGTGAGGGGCTCTCAGAGGGCAGAGATCGATGCCTTTCAGGGCAGAAAACCCCAATATCCTCTTCCGTGGTTTTGTGGGTCCCCTGGGAGCTGGGGAGCCTGGTAGCCCCAGAGGTGTGAGGGATGCAGAGTGTTCCTGCCGCCACTAGAGGGCATGTCACTAACACACAGGCCAGGTGTCTGCTTCCCAAGGCCACTCTGTGGACCCTTCTGGGACCTGAACCCTGGGAGTGTCCAAGGCTGTCAGGAGCTCACCTCTGGAGGTGAGGAGGGGGAGATTCAGAGCAGAGACTGTAACTCAAGCCCAGCTGGCCCCAAACCTAGGCTCCCAACTTCTCCTTTACCTCAGACTCACCTTCCTACTACTGTCAATCTCTGCATGTGTGTAAGGCAAAGGTTTCTTAACATCAGCACTGCTGACATCGTTGCCCAGATAATTCTTTGCTGTGGGGGCTGTGCATTGTAGGGTGTTTAGCAGTACCTCTGGTCTCCACCCACTAGATGACAGTGGCAACCCCCAGCCCCAGGTCATGATCATCAGAAATGTCTCCAAACGTTGCCGGAGGCCCACAAGATCGCCCCCGGCGTGCAGGTGGTGAGCGTGCCTGCTGTGAGGCCAGGAGGGACCCGGTGCAGAAGAGGTCTGCCCGTGGTTCCCACTGCGCCTGAGAGTCGTGTGGAAACACGAGAGCTACTCAAGGATGGCATATGTGCTGTAAATACATGTTAAAACTGTATTTGGTCTCCTGCTTTTCTTCTCCAAAGACTGCAGAGCCTCTCGGTCTTCCCCTCTGTTTATTCCACCTCCCCACTTTATTGAAGCAGGAGACTGAGACTCAGAGACCCGCAGGGCCTCAAGCCACCCCTCACCTGCAGAACCCCGTCCCCCAGCTGCGAGCACCCTCACCGCCGGCTCCCCAGCCTTGGCTCGGGCACCAGGAGCATCTGTGGTCCTCCTCCCACTGCACCTGCCCACTAGGCCCCGCAGCCCCGCGGCTCCCCAAACCCTAGTGCCCCCCCACTGGAGGGAGTGGGGAAGCAGCAGGTGTTGATGCTAATCAGCGTTCACAGCCCAGAACTGCAGTCGCTCCCAGGCTCACACACTCCCCAAAATTAAACACTCATTATACAAAATTAATTGACATTAATTAGCAAAAATTAAAACTTTAAACACAGCAAGGCGCTTTTGGGGGAGGAGTGAAGCAGGCGGCCTCCACATTTGTCACCCCCCACTCCCCACCCGCCCACCACCCTCAAGTCCCCCCAGTTTTATCCTGGAACGGGGTTGGAGGAGGTCAGGCAAGGTCAGCACACTCACCCATCCTGCCCCAGGCCCAGGCCCAGCTCCGCAAGTTCCGGGTGAGGGGAGCAGAGGGGCACACCTGGGGCTGGTCACCGGCTGATGGGTGGCCCACAAATTCTGGCATCCAGTGTCTAACGAAGGAGCCAGGAACCCTTCCTTCAGCCCAGGTCTGTCATGATCTCCTAGCCAAGGGAGGGAACCCAGCCATGTGCAGTGAGAATATAGAAGGTCGGCCTTTAGCTCCCCCTGACCCCATCCCCGGCCCCCTAGCCCCAAACCTGCCCATCTTCTGCGTACCCAAAGGGTTAGCTCCATCCCACTTTGCTGTGTGACCTCAGATAAGTCACCCCCCTCCCCTGAGCCTCACTGTTCCATCCATATGATGAGGGGGCGGCGCTGGGTGAGCACTGAGGTTCCTGCCTGCTCTGACACCTGCAGTCAGAAAGCAAATCTCTGGGAACCCGATTCACTCTGAGGAGCAAAGGGCTGGATATGGGGGGCTGCCATTTTGAGACAATGCCCAGAAAGGCAGCCCGATGGTGGAACATCAGGTACTGGCGAGGCATCTTCAAGCCAGGGAGCCCTCCCAGAGGGGGCATTCACGTCGCCTGCCTGCCAGGCCCACCCCTGAGGAAAGGAAAGCTGCTCCCTTGAGAGCTGGTTGCTCTCTAGCTCCCCCCCTTCCTCTTCTCATGCTGGTTATTTTCCGCCTTTGCTCACCAGGTCGTCAAGGGCTCCCAGATCCCTCAGCAGGCTGGTGGGCAGATGGGCAGCAGAATCGAACCTTCACCCACCGAACACAGACTCGGCACTTAGGACTGTTGCTGCTTGGGATGGGGAGGCTTGGGTGCAGCCCGGTGGCTTTACTCCACCAGGCAGAATATCATCTTCCCTCTTACTCCTGTCCCCCTGCCTCCCGCCCCTCCCCCCCCCCGCTCCCCTCTCTCTCTCCAGCCAGTGCCAACATCTGCAACGTGGTCCTGATGCGGTACGGGGAGCTGGAGGAAGGGATCGATGTCCTGGATGGTGATGGCAACCTCGTGGGCTCCTCCAAGATTGCAGCCAGACATGTGGGTCATCCGGGGGCTCAGGGGACAGTGGGGAGGCCAGCGACAGGGAGAGGGTTTCGTTGCTCAGGGGCTTCTTGTACACAGCACCTCTGCTTTCTCTTTTTGATCTGCCCTCCTTGTCCCACCGTGCCTCCCCTCTGCATGAGCCCTGGGCCTCCAGGTCTGGCCCCAGCCACACCTGTCCCTGCACGGTCCTTCCTTCTCTCCATCTGCCCTCTCGTTGCCACTTTAAGACAGCCCCACAGGACCTGGCTTCTCTGACCTGTTAATTGGAAAGGGCAGAGGAGACCCCCCCTCCCCCACAGAGCTTTCTCTCCCCCACCCTGGGACCTAGGGCCCTGCTCTCTGGGCTTTCAGAGCCTCCCAGGCAAGAAGAGGAAGTATGGGAGCAGGTAGTTCGTGGTTCTGTGCTAATGGCCGCTTCTACAGGTGGCACCTCACCGGGGACTGAGTGTGGCCAAGGTGGGGCTTTGAGGAAAGAATATCTTGCTACAAGAAGGCCCTCTTTCACCTCTCATTTCACCAGCCTCACCCACACCAGCACCTGGAATTTTTTAGAAAATTCCAGTCTGCTTGTGTATCTCCCCATGCTTTCTCAGCCTTCATCCTAGTGGTGATTAGTGGCTGGTGTTGCTCTGGCCTCTGAGTGCTGGCATGGCGAGTCTGCCATGAGTACCTGAGCATTTGCCTCATCTCCAGCCACTGTCCCTCATCAGCTTTCCCGATGGGCCCCGAGCCTCACCTCCATCCATCAGGCCCTCTCCATAATCCTCTGATGTGGGAAGAACCGTTGCCTTGTCCCAGCCCTCCCCTCCCCACTGGTCTCAGAGAACATGAGTGACCATCCAAGGCTTGTGGGGGGCAAAGGGCCCGGGGGTGCTGGTGCCAGCACTGCAGCCTCAGCTTCTTGTGCTGGCGCTGGGCCCCCCTCATTCCCACACCTGTTCAGAAGACTGGAGGGACTTTCTCCCAGGCCTTCCAGAGGCTGATCACGACAGACCTAGGTTCCTGGAAGACATTTTTAGCCCTGAACCTATCCATCATCGGAGGGGATTTGGCCTCAATTTCCTACCCGACCCCAACCTCCCATCCAACCTTAGTGTTTCCCCTGAGAACGAGGCCGACCTCGGTAACTCTCCTCATGATGCTGGCTGTCTAGAGGAAGGCTCCCAGGGCTTATAAGCTATGAGCCATTCCTTGGGCCTTCTCTCAGGGCCAGGAGCCCATGGCCTTGAAGGAACTCCCCACAGCGACCATCAGAGTGCAGAAGTGCCTCTGAGCTGTTGCCTTGACCATGCCCTGGCTCCCCAAGAATCCCAGGAGAACCCGCAGAGCAAAGACCCAGGCAGCCCCACATGGAGACACAGCAGACACTCAGCAGAAGTGTTTCCCGCTTACAAAGCCGACCTCTTGTCGCTAAGAAGGCTCTCATCCAGAGCCAGGAGAGGCAAGACCTTTAAAATTTTTGTCTGTAAGCGGTGTCAAAAAGAAAAAAAGAAAACGTAAATCCCAGAATCTCTGTCCTCCTTCAGCACCAAGAGCCTCACGCGGCTCAGCAGGCCCCAGCTGTTTGCTCTGGTCCTTCCAGCTCCTGCTTTGTTTTCAGAGCATCTCAAGTCCTCCATATGCTTCCTCCCCAGCCCCTGCTCCTGCCACTGAGGCACCTCCCTGGGCACAGACCCCTTCCTGGGGCCGCTTCTGTGTTGCCACCCCTCCCCCCCCAGACGGCAGGTGACAGAGATCTGCTCTTTTCAAATGTGTGTGGTGGGAAGATGGGGGTGGCTTTTTTCTCTTGTTTGGAATAAGGCTTTGTGAGCAATTCCATGAATTATTCCATTCAGCCAGATGTGCTTAGCAGCAGTACACGCACCTGGGGGCTCCTGAGGAGGGGTTCACCGCCAGGTGGCTGTCCCCCACCCCCTGGGAGCTCTCTGCTCACCACAGCCTCTGCTTGCCCCTCAGGCCCTGCTCGAGACGGCGCTGACGCGAGTGGTCCTCCCCATGCCCATCCTGGTGCTACCCCCGATCGTCATGTCCATGCTGGAGAAGTGAGTTGGGGCAGCCAGGAGAGGGGGCCACCGCTGGGGAGGAGGGTGCACGAGAAGGGGAACCAGCTGGGCCAGGGCAGGGGACAGGGGAGCGGCTGGAGCCCACCCCACCAGTTTGTTGGGACTCTCCCGGGCAGCGTTACCGGAATCGTGCCATGAGCATTCGTGGACTTCTACTCTGCAGGACCCTGCGCCAGGTGCCAGGACGGATGTCCAGATGGATGACACTGGCCCTGCCCTGAGAGCTAATGCTTCTGGGGTGTGCGTGTGTATGTGCATGTGTGTGTACACATGTGTGCGTGCATGTGCTCTATTCGTGCAGCGCAGGACCAGTTGTGAAGAGAGTCTGAGGGTTGTGGTAGGAAGACTAGATTTGGGGGCAGGACCTCCATGTTCAGGCATCCACTGCGAGGCAATTCAATACCGCATGGAGCCTCAGTTTCTCGTTTATAAAATACAAATAGTACTAACCTCCCTGCCTTCGGCAGAGGCACATTCTGAGAACACGTATTTGTCATGACAAATCTTATAAAGGTACCAGGGAACAGAGCAGTAAGAGCACCAATAGAGTGAGCCTATAATTAATGAGCGTGAGGTTGAATCGCGAAGACAGATAAGCTACTGGAGGGCAGGCTGAGGGGACGAGGGGAGGAGCCGGAGCTGATCTTCATGCAGGCTTGGGCAGGCTCTGAGGATGAGTGTGCGTCTGGGAGGACGGCAAGGAGCAGGGAAGGGCTCCGGGCGGGGGCAGCAAGGTGAACGCAAGTCTGGAGGTGCGGACCCGAGCTCACACAAGCCAAAGGGAGGCAGTGACCACTCTCACCTTCCTGATGGCCTAGCCTAGGAGGGGGCGCCTCAGGGCATAAAGTCAGGGTTAGGGACACTCTACCTGGGGCTCTGGAGCAGGGGCTTCTCCCCAGTTTGGGGACCTTCCTATTCCCACAGTACGAGTTGTGATAACAGCTAACAGTTATTAAGCACGTACTATATGCCAGTCCTCTCTAGCCAGGTCTCTGCCCAAACACTGTCTCCTCAGAGAGCCCCTCCCTGAGCACTCCACGGAGGTAACAGCACCATGACTCCCTCTTCTGTCCATCACCTTATTTTTATTCATAGCACCTAGCAACATCACAGACCCTTTATCTAGTTGTCTCTCATCTGGCCCACTAGAATGCAATCTCCATGGAGCCAATCCATTCTTGGCATCTATTGCCCTGCACGGCCTCTAGCACAGGGGCTGGCATGTAGTAGATGCTTAGTGTTTGTTGAATGAATATTCTCACTTAACCATCGCACGGTACAGTGAGGTAAGTGTAACATTTCCGTTTCACAGATGAAGAAAGCAAGGTGAGAAGAAGTTACCCCATCTGCCTATAGTTCTCCAATAGGAAACGACAGAGGCAGGAGTGGTCCAGGAGCTCAGGCTCCTACCACTCAGGCTGCCTTGGGTCTTCAGATCACATAATCTGTGATTCTTTGGGTCTTGCCCTGCATGGAGATAGGAGAGGAGCAGGTGTGGGGTCCTGGTCTCAGGAAGCCTGTATTTTGATAAGAGAGCCGACCATGACCCATGTGCAAGTCAGCTGCAGGTGGGACTGGGCAGTATGTAAATGGGCCAAGGTGATCTTGACTGGAGGCACACTATGGGCCCATCAGCAGGGAAGGCTGGTCCACAGGAGAAGGGATGCTGCTGACTCCGAGAGAAGGGTAGGATTTCTGTGGAAAGCGGGTTTTCTGGATGAGGTGCGGGTCTGTTGTTCCGGAAACTGAAGACTCTAACCAGACAGAAGGAAAGTGAGCTTGTTGGGGCTGGCTTATCAGGGGTCCTGTGTCCAGCCAAGGAGATGGTCCCTTCCTCACCATGGAAGAGGGGGAGTCATGGGAAGACCTGGGTAGGGGTGTGGTGTGTTGAACACTAGGATTGCAGAAAATCAGTCCCGTATGGGAGTTCCAAAAAGAAACAGATCCTGGGAGAGCAATAGCTTTGGTGCCCCGGCCCCTGTTGTTTGTAGCTGCCTCATTAAGCTGAGGCTGGTCCCAAATACTGGTGACCACAAGTGCACGTGAGGAGACTACCAGGCAAATGAGGAAGGTAGGGCTTCAAGGCTACTGAATCCCAGGCTTGGAATTTTTTCGGGAAAACGTCTGTGACGCCCTTCTAGTCGGCATCTGAGTTGGGTTTGCAGAAAGTGGAGTGATGGCTAGTGTCCCCTTGGTCTGGGGACGTGAGTAGCTTTGGGAAGCTGGGTGGCATTGTTCTAGTTCTGAACCTCCCAGCCTGGGATCTGCACACAGGCCGTGTGTCTGGCTCAGCTCAGAGTCCGGAGAAGCCGGCCAGGTAGGCAGAGACAAGCAGGCCATTTGGTTCTGGTGGCCTTGTATTTGGTCAGTCCTTTTCTGAAGTTCCTGAGAGGGCCCCTGGGGAGGAGAGAGAGTCCAGCCCAGGATCCCTCAGCAATATCCAGACCCAGTTTGTGCCCTCAAAGACGTACTAACCTCCGATCTGTCGGGGAACCCCAGGACTGTGTGGTAGGAGGGGCTGAGCTGGGTAGCAGTGGCGGCAGAGATTCTGATAGCAAAACGGAATCGGGGTTCCTGTGCCAGCACTTCCAGGCCCAGGCCGGGCTAGTGGAGGAGAGTCCCTCAGCCCCAGTCTCCCACCTGGGGAATGACGGCACTGCCCGCTTCATTCACCGCCCTGTGGGCTAGGAGCCTTTGCAGGGCCCCAACGCACACCCTGCAGCCTTCCACACGCAGGGGTGCTAGCAGCGGGGCCTCTGCCCAGACGGCTGGTGGAGGAGCCTAGTTGGGTGAGAGAGTCAGGACAGCCAGGGGAAGAAGACAAAAGAACACTTACAAAGCAGCCTACTTGCAAATTAATGGAGTGCAAACTAAGACTGCTCCAAGTGCTGAGGGAGTGTGCGGCATGGCGGGGAGGCTGCGGGGAGACAAGCTGTCGCGGTGCGGGTGTGGTGGTGCCATGGCTAGGGCCCGGCTGGCTCTGCCTCTGTCCTCAGCACCCCCTGCCTGGGAGGAGCACTCAGGGACAAGGTCCCCAGGTTTCCTGCTGGCATGAGAGTGGGAGCCCAGCTTGTCCAGGTGTCCCTGTCTCTGAGACTGAAAGGGAGAAAGTCTCAAGTCTGAAGCAGAGGAGCCGCCACCCCCAACCCAGAGTACGGAGGGTGTGCATCACACACACACACACACACACACACCCCTTCCCCTCACTCTCCACTGCCCCTTCCCTTGGGCCGAGGGCTCACACACCAGCTCTACCCTCCTGAGGAGAAAGCTGGTTTTGGTCCCAGGGCTGGGAGATCCATCCTCCCCATCATCCCGCCAACTCAGAGGCAGGTACAGTGGCTCTCTCCCCTCAGCCCTGCACCCCTACCCCTGGAGTTCGCCTTCCAGCCAGGCAGGGTCTCAGCCGGGTAAGGGTTCAGACTGCATCCTCCCCAGTGGTTCCTGAGGCTGCTCCCCAGCCTCCCTCCTTCCCTGGGCTCCGGGTCTTTCCTTTCTCCAGGCATTCGCACACACGCACATCTCTCCATCTGCATATTTCAACTCCCCCAGCTGCCTTTCCGATCCCTCCCTGCCATTTCCCTCTCCTCCTCCCCTCCCCCGTCCTGCTGCGTTCACTCTCCCTGCTCAGGGCTGGGACTTCAGGGGTTCCTGTTTGGCTTAAGTCTTGAGGCTGCCTGCTTCCTGAGTCAGGAGCACAGGCCTGGGGCTTCCTGGACCCCTTTTCCAGTGCAGATTTCAGCCAGCCACCCCTGAGAGAGGAGCTGAGGTCACAGCCCCATGTGGAAGGAGGCTGTCCAGTGTCCCTGCCAGGAGTGCCCAGGGACTGAGCCCATGGCCTGTCCCTCACCTGCCAGGGAAGGAGCCTCGCTCTTTCTCCCTGTCACCCCCCAGGCCCTTGGTGACCCTCCAGTGTATGCCTCCAGGGACTTCACCCCCTCCTATCCCCTCCCAGAGACTGAGGTCCCAGTCACTGCTACAAGGCAGGAAGGCGCCCCACCCTCCACAGCCTCTTCAGGGCAGGGGGCCTCCTGTGTAAGCCTGGAGAGTGAGCCCAGGTACCCCACTTCCTTGTCCTGCTGGAGAAGTTGATCTCAGTCCAAATGATCTCAGAGCCCATGTCAGCCTTAAGCCTGGCGCCTCTGTGACGCCCAAGGAAGCCCAGAGGCCTTGGGCTGAGCCCATGGAGGATATGAGGCTCACCTCTCCTGCTCTTAATCCTGTGAAACTGCCCCGTCTCAACTCAGGCTTAATTTAACGGCTAGACATGGGGCGCCTGGGTGGCTTAGTCGGTTAAGCGTCCAACTTTCGCTTAGGTCATGATCTCACGGTTCGTGGGTTCGAGCCCCGCGTCGGGCTCTGTGCTGACTGCCAGCTCAGAGCCTGGAGCCTNTTCGCTTAGGTCATGATCTCACGGTTCGTGGGTTCGAGCCCCGCGTCGGGCTCTGTGCTGACTGCCAGCTCAGAGCCTGGAGCCTGTTTCAGTCTGTGACTCCCTCTCTCTCTGACCCTCCCCTGCTCACGCTCTCTCTCTCTAGAAATAAATTTAAAAAAAAAAAAGAAAAAATTTAACGGCTAGACAGGTCTTGGGGTCTGGGCCAGTGGGAAGGGCTAGAGGGTAGCCCTAGGATCCTCCCTCCTTCCTGCACATAACAAGAGCAATAACAGCAATAATAACACAAAATTACTGAGCACTTACTGTGTCCGGGCCTTTTATTTGCATAGAATTTACAAATAAGTGGAGCTTTATTTGCACCTTAGTAGGAACATCCTGGGCCAGGTTTTCCGGGGATCACCTGTTTTAAACTCACGGAAGGTTGTTTGAAATGCAGATTCCCAGGTATGGTACCAACTGAATGGGGATCTTGGGGGTGGGGGAAGGGGCCCTTGGGGGTCAGCATTGTTAAGCGGTTGCCCAGACACCAGAGTTTGAGAACTATGGCTCCTAATTTTGCTGTTTGCTCAGAAGCAGGAGCTATTGTCCCAGGAAGGGAAGTTTTGGGGGGGGGGTTGCCTGCCCCTACAATGAGGCCCTGTCCCCAGGAGGGCCTCTTACCTGCCTGTGGCCATAGCCAGCCCTGTTGCAGCAGGAGAGGGGCAAGAGCCTGAGTATATCCTCCTCACACCAGGAGCCAGTCCATCGTGAGGAGGCTGAGTGCCCACCCAACGCCCCCTGGCAAATAGTCCAGTCACCCATCCTGCTGGCGGAGGCCCCAGGCCTCCCCAGGTGGAATGGCTCGTGGTCTCCACTAAAGAGCCTGCTGGTTTATACAAAATGTGAAGTTCTGATGGACAACAGGGTGAAGGTATACTGGCCAGCGGGCATGGCCCCCACTCTGTCTGGAGACCTTGTTTCTATCATGGAGCTGGGGGACCCAGGGCAAGGAGGGAAGACTTTCATACACTTCTCCTGCTCAGGAATCCCACCTCCAAAGCTTGTCCTGGGGGGTGGGTGCCAGCTGAGACATGCTGGCGATGACTCTGGCACAGCGTTCTACAGGTGGGAGTTGGGGGCAGCATGGAGCGATAGCTCTTGCGGGGAGTCAGGAGTTCAGCCAGCAGCCCTGTCTGCCTCCCGTGGACTTAGCCATGGCCTTAGGCAAGTCATTGCCCTTCTCTGTGGCTCTTGGACGGACGTGGACCAGGTGGTTGCTGGGGTGTGTGCGTGTGCCTGTGTCCACGTGTGTATGTGTGTGCGTGCGTGTGTGCTGTTTGTCTCTTTCCCTGAACTTGGCATCTACTCTGATTTGTTCAGTGCTTTATTATGTGCTTCCTTTGAGGACCATTTTTCTCTGCTGTGTGCCTCCTCCGTTGTCTCCCCCACATGTGACCTTCTTTGCACAGAGCTGGACACATGGTGGGGTGGGTACCCCACAAGTACTAATTTATGATGTATGACTGAGAGTTCACCCAGCAAGGTCCTTCAGGGCAGGGCCTGGGGGAAAGGGTGACGTTGGGGAAGGCACCCAAGATCGAATTCCACCACAACTATTTAGCTACAGGTTGGCACTGACCTAGAACCATGCTGCCCCGGCCCTGGGACTCTGAGTGGGACCCTGCATGGAGGCTAGCAGCAGCTCACCCTGTCTTCCAGTCTCATGGAACCCCTCTCCTCTGTCCCCCACAGGACGGCTCTCCTACAGGCGCGCCCCCGGCTGCTCCTCCCTGTGCAAAGCCTTGTGTGCCTGGCAGCCTTCGGCCTGGCCCTGCCGCTGGCCATCAGCCTCTTCCCACAGATGTCAGAGGTCAGTGTGGAGAAGGTCTCAAGGGCAGGACAGCGGGGGGGGGGGGGGGGTACCATTTCACCACTTATTAACAAACACTTATTCAGTGCTAACTCCTTAGCCCTGAGCTCGGCACTGGAGTTAGAGCCATAAAGGAGACACGTCCAGGCCCTGACCTCTCCCAAGCTGAGGACCAAGCAGTGAACATGACAATTAAAAAGGGACTAGCAAATGAAGGGTGAGGACCGTTAGGAGGGAAAAGTCCAGCTGGACATGGATGGAGACAGTATGGGGCTCCAAACCCAGCCTAAGAGGGAAGTGGCATTTCATGGGGCCTCAAGGATGAGCTGGAGTTGGCCAAGTGCAAGGGGGAAAAAGGGACATGTGGGCTGCGGTCACCTGGGGTGAAGGTTCTGAGGTGAGGCAGCAGATAGCACTTTACAAGAGCTGAGGAAAGTCTGCATCATAAGCAGAGGGTGAGCAAAGCGAGGTGGGCCAGGCAAGGGTGCCCAGGGCAGGTGGGGCTGGGGACTTGGAAGCCAAAGCAGAGAAGGCAGGTGTCATCAGAAGGGCCGTGCGAGGCAGGACTGCGGATTCCCAGTTGTGAGCCTGGGCTGGAGCTCTGGAGAAGGAGCCATCAGGAGGTGGGGGCAGGCATCCAGCAAGAGATGGTGTTGGCTTGGACCAGGCTGTTGGCAGTGGGCATCGAGAAGTGGGTCCTTTAAGAAGAAGTTAGGACTATGAAGAACTGCATGTGGTGGGAGGGAAGGGAGCCGGCAGGGTATGCATCCAGCTTGCTGCTTTTGAACAACCAGGCAGAAGTAAGCACTGTTTAACAAGATGGAGACAGGAGGAGAGGTAGTTGGAGGGAAGATGGTATATTGAGTTCAATGGACACATGAGGTTCCAGGATCCTGTGGAATGTGCAAATGGGGCTGGAATCCAGGAGAGAGGCCTGGGCTAGAGGGACAGAAGTAAGGCCACCAGCATAAAAACAATGATGGAAGCTAGGGAGCCTGTGGAGAAAAGATGCCCTGGGGAAGCATGGCATCCACGGACCAGAGGCCAGTTTGATAAGTTCTGAGCTAAGTTGGGTCAGGGGGTGGTGGGCCACCCACAGAGGCAGGCACTCCTGAGAAGTTGAACCCTGTGAAGTTGAAGAGTGTCCGTTGGTGTCCCAGATGATGAAGGCAAACCCTCTCCCCAGGAGTGGACCCAGCCGAGGGGTGAGGAAATAGGGTGGCAGGGCTGACGGCTCTGTCCAGGGGCTTGGCACTAAGGGAAATCAGGGAAATAGACCTGCAGCTGGAATGAGATGTGGGCTCAAGGGAGGTTTTGATTTGCTTATTTTTCCCTTTTTTAAATGAATGAGATGGGAGCTTGTGTAAATGCAAAAGGGAAGGTACCTGGAGAGAAGCACAGGACAGAGGGAGGAGGAAGATGGGGAGAGCAAAGTCCATGGAGGGGGGGTGGGGCAGAGCACAGACCGGGGATTCAAGGGATTTGCCTTGGCTGCGGAGTGCCGGCTCCCCACTTTAGGAGGCAGGGGCGGGGGGTGGGTAGATGCAGTTGGGGATGGTGTCAGGGGGTAGGGAGGTTAAGGAAGTTGTTCGGATAGACTCTGTGTTCTCATGACCAAGCAGAGAGGATGGCGAAGGGTGGAGGAGGGGGAGGCCAGAGGCTTAAGGACTATGGAGACATTCAGAGGGGAGAATGGGAAGGACAGCCGACCAAGGAAGTTAGAGAAGCCGGGTGGGCAGTGCACCGAGTCTGCAGACGAGGCGGCTAAGCAAGGATGCAGGTCTGTGGGCCTGGCCAGGGCATGTCTACCTAAAGAAGCTGGGGGCTGTGAGGGCCACACGGTTCAGTTAGAAAGTTTCATCTGGCTGGGTGATTCGGAGAGTGGGTAAGCCATCAGGGGGAGTGGTGGGCCCCAGAATCTTAGCTGGGTGAGGTGAAGACAGGCAAGTAGGCTGCGTGGGGGAGTGGCAGACCCAAGGGGGTCATCGAATGAATGTGGTATTTGGACTCTTGGGCAGATGGAGGCCGTGGCCACAGACTGGCACTTCGGAGTTTGCGATTGCAGGCCTGACCCTGCTCAGTCCTGAGAGAGGTGGGGATGGGGGCAGGTTCCTGGAGGAGAGTCGGAAAAGTAAAACTGAGGGGCCTGGACTGTGAGCACTGAAGACTCAGAGTCTTAAGTAGGACGAAGTGAGTCAGCCCTGAGCGCCAAGGTCCCAGGAAGGTGAGGACCAGAGTCACTTCCTTACACTGAGCCCCAGAGATTTAGGAGGAGACTAGGATGGGGAGGGCCCCCTGTCTTGGACAGCCCAAGGCACACTGGGGTGGGAAGCCTGGGGTGTGATCTGTGCCAGGAGCGCCTTCCTGCCCACAAGGCCCAGCCTTGCTGCGAAGCCAGGGATACCCCTCCCCCCATGAAAGCTGAAAAGCTGTTAGCTGAGGTTTGGAGACACTGAATGGGGCCAAGGGCTCTAGAAGTTCTGAAGATGGGAGAGAGGGCACGTCTCGGTTGGTGGTCTTGGCATTCCCATCCTGGAAGGGCTGTGCCCAGCACTCCCCAAAGTGGCTGCATCTCTCTGCACAGTCAGGGTAAGTCTGCAGTTCTAGGTGAGGGGCAGAGATACTTGTAGGCGCTGTTGTGTTCAGAAGCTTCAGGTAGGTCTCCTATCTCTACCGGTCTGCATGGGAAGTGACCTAGGGCCAAGAAGCCTCGGGGTCATCCAGTTTATTATCCTTCTGGCTCTGCTGGGGAAATGGAGACCCAGAGTGGCCCAGGGAGCAGCCCAAAGGCATAGAAGCGAGGCAGAATTATGACAGGAACCCCCAAAGGCCCACACCCAGGCCAGGCTGCAACTGCTTGTTCTGTGGGATTTTTCTCTCCTCCCTCAACCACTTTGCCCACACTGAGGTAGTGGAGAGATGGGGGAGCTAGAGGCGACCCTCCTCTCCGGTGGGGAAGAGCCTGGGAGTGGGCCTTCAGCAGGTGTTTGACTGGGGCAGATAAGGGAGAGATGGCCACAGTCCACCCACCCGGCGTCTGGCTCTAGCCACAGGAGGTGGTCTCAGTGGGCAGCCTGCCCTAGCACAGCCTCCCTGTCAAGCTTCAGGCTCCTCTCCTCCCTCATGTCTGCCTCACATAGGCATGCAAATGGACCAAAGTCCCTCTCATTGAAACCCAAGTCTGTTTCTTGACTGGGAGGAATGTAATCATGGCATGAAAAGCCTGTTCTCTGAGAGAGGAGGGTAAGGACATGGTTTTCCGTGTCCCTTTCTCACTGTATCAACTCCACCAGGATGCAGGCAAGCCTGGGGGCTCTATGGGTTGATTTGAGGCCAATCTGTGACCTGTGGCCCCAAGGCCATCAGCCAATTGGCTGAGAGGACCTCATTCCCTCCATCCATCCTCCCAATTAATTCTAACGAGGTACTGCTCCTGCCTTTTGGGGATCATGTCTCACATCCCAGAAGCCAGTGGGATTTACCACAATAAGTCTGGACTTGCTTGGGCTGACCTCTCCTTGCCAAGAGCCACCAAGGTTGTCAACAGGAGTAATAGCTGGAACACCAATTAATTAATTAGGGGACTTGGAAATAGAGTTTAGGAACTGGTTTCTAGAATGATTCGTCTGCAGTGACTGGTGTGGAGTTTCCAACCCACTAACTCCAGAGGTTGAGGAAAGAACTTCAATCCTCCCTTCAATCCCTGGGAGAGCGTTTTGTCTGCTCATTTCAAATTAGTATTTCTGCCTATTAAAGTGGCGCTAATTTTAAAATTAAAATTGCAAATAATAAAAATAGCTACCATTTGCAAAGCATCTCCTAGGCCTGTCAGCATGTTGGTAACTGTGCAGGTCTTGTTGTATCAAGTCCTTCCAATACCCTTTGAGTCCCAGGTCTTATTGACTCTTAAGGGATGTTACCTAGAGCATTAGATGTGCGCATCTCTGACTCTGGAAGAGATTTTGGCTGGAGACAGAACCTTTGGTGCCTGGGGGGAACTGAAGCCAAAGAAGGGGTAAGGTCATTGTGGGAAGAAGGAAAGGCATCAGGAAAAGGCAGGAGCAGCCAGGGGCAGGGGGAGGACCCTGATGGAGCATTGCCGTGGATCCTGAGGACAAGGGCATTTCAAGGAGGAGGGGCTCTCTGCAGAATGAGCTACTGCAAAAGTGGGCTCGGAGGTGACAAGAACTGGCAGCTGGGTGGTATGTAGGCAAAGCAATCTAGGAAGCGAACTGTGGTCAAGTTTCTCTGTGTTCAGAGAAGGGAGTTCATGAATGGGAAGCCATTTGGGAACAGCAAAGAAAGTTGCACTCCCTGGGTGTTCCGTTGATAGGGGTGGGAGCCTGAGGGCCAGTGTGGGGAAGGAGCACACAGGAGATGATGCATGTAGTCCAGGGAGGAAAGGCATGGCCCTGGGTCCAGTAAATAGAGCAGCCTGCTTGGTGGAGAGGAGAGATGGGAGACTTGGACATGACATTCCTATGAAATAGGAGCCAATATTATTCTCTGTTTACAAAGGAGGAAACTGAGGCATACTTTACCTGAGGTCCAAAGGTGGTAATGATGTCTCCATACTCACAGAAGCAGTTTATGTCCCCCCTCAGCCCATGTTTATAGCTCTATAAAATGAGAAGGCCCATGTCTGAGTCCCAGATGGCTCCCTGCTAATGTATCATTAGGAACATTCCAGCACCCTCAGCAAGCCCTCTTACCCTTCATGGGGAGTCTCCATCCATGTTCACGGGGACCTTATGGAGTAGGTGTTTATGCCTTTAAACTTTTTTTTTTTTTTTGAGAGAGAAAGAGAGAGAGAGTGCCTGTGCTCAAGAGCAGCAGAGGGGCAAAGAGAGAGGGAGAGAGAGAATCTTAAACAGACCCCACACCCAATGCAGAGCCCTACATGAGGCTCGATCTCAGGACCATGAGATCATGACCTGAGCTGAGAGCAAGAGTTGGACGCTTGAGGCTTAACCAACTGAGCCACCCAGGTGCCCCTTTTT